CACCCATTTTGAATAATATTGCATGAGTTCCTTGTTATTCAATGCAGCATAGTATTCCATTGTGTGACTGTACCACAGCTTCTTTATCCATTCGTTTGATGATGGGCACCTGGGTTGTTTCCAACTCCTTGCTATTGAGGATTGCTTCTTTTTTAAAATTTCTTTGTGATATTTCCCAAACACTTTACATGTGTACCAAGCATCCCGCTAAGCATTACACCTATGAGGCCATTTCATTCTCCCAGTCGCCTCTAAATGTCAAACCAAACTGCTTATCATTGAGTCAGTTCTAACTCATGGCCGTGGCCTCTTGTGTGTCAGTGTGTTTCAATGATGGGTTGTTTTGGAAGCTGATTTCCAGGACTTTCTTCCTCAGCGCCTCTAGGTAGATTTGATTCACTGACCTTTGGTATCATCCAAATATGTGAACATTTGCACCTGCAAGATAGCTTATGTTGTTATCTCATACAACAGATGTGAGGGAGTTCTGATGGCCTAGTGGTAAGGAATTGTGCTGCCAATGCAAAGGTACACTGTTTGAATCCACCAGCTGCTGTACGGGAGAAAGATGGACAATCTTTGCAGTCTCTGAAAAACCATTGGGGAGTCAGCTATGGATTGGTATGCTACTCAACAACGTGACTGAAGTATGGAGTCCTGATAGCAGTGAAGTGCTTGGCTGCTAACAGAAAGGTTGGCAGTTTGAACCAGTCCAGTTGCTCTATAGGAGAAGGATTTGGTGATCTGCTCCCATAAAAATGACAGCCTATTAGTGGAGGCAAGGATTCTGAGGCTCCGTCTAACTTACTTTGGACATGTAGTGAGGAGAGACCGGTCCTTAGAGAGGGACATCATGCTTGGGAGGGTTGGAGGGACAGCACAGGAGGGGAAGGCCCTCTATGAGGTGGATTGATTCAGTGACTGGGATAATTGGGATGGGAGTGTCAGAGACAGTGCGATTGGCACAGGACAGAGCGGAGTTTAGGGCTGTTTTACATAGGGTCACTATGAGTCGCAGGCGACTCGACGGCACATAACAACAACAACAACATTAGTGGAGAGATGGAGGAGGTAAAGGACTAGGTAAGGTGCAATGTGGACTTGAAGAGAAAGGGAAAGAAAAGTAATTGATCAATAGTAGTTAATGACATAAACCACAATGCACAGAAATGCTTGTATAAAATTAAATGTACATGAATGAAACAATGTATTGGAGTAATTGTACAAAAGCAAATGATAGTATAAATAAATAATAAATTTTATTTTACAATGATCACGGCCTACAAACCCTGTGAGGCGGTTCTACTATGTCACATGCATATGAGTCACATCACTATGAGTCGGAATCAACTTGATGGCACATAACAACAATGACAGATCAAGAAAGAAACTGAGCCTAGATTTAACCCCAGTGGAGCTCTGCTGCTGCCAGCATTCTCGAGTCCCTGACTTTACCCTCCCACGCCGATAAACCCCCTCTGTAATTTGCTCTGTTTACACCTATGGTGAAGTCCATTCTCGAGCCTGGATGATGTCTGTCCCTAGGAACTGTGTGATTTCCAGGCTGACAGGAGCGGGGCGTGGCTGGGGGAGAGATGACACGCTGGGTGGGCATTACTTCCTCAGATGGAGTGTAGGACGCGGATTGCTGTTTAGCATGTGCTCATCTTCTCCCTTCTCTCCCCTTTCAAATTAGGGTGAAGACTGCCGAACTGTCCCCCTGGCTGGACACGTGGGGTTTGACAGCTTGCCTGACCAGCTGGTGAATAAGTCCGTCAGCCAGGGCTTCTGCTTCAACATCCTGTGTGTGGGTGAGTATTTCCATAGCAGGAAATTCTATTACAGAATATGGATCCTTAATGGCTGGATGTGACTTTGCAGGTAATTAGGTTAAATAGTGTATCGTTCTGATCTATCCATGAGCATGTTTTCTCCCCTTCTTCTTTTATCTCTCTGCTTATTTCTGTAAGCAGCTGCCTGTCATTATATCCCCCCCACCCATCTAGGCTAGAGTGTTTTATATTTAAAGGGAGCTCTGACAGCCTAGTGGTAAGGAGCTGCGTTGCCAAGCCAAAGGCAAGTGGTTCGAGTCCACGCCCCTGAAGAAAGATGGGAAATCTATGCAAAGGCATTTGACTGTGTGGATCATAACAAACTATGGCTAACATTGAGAAGAATGGGAATCCCAGAACACTTAATCATGCTCATATAAAATTTATATCTAGGCCAAGAAGCTGTTGTCCCAAGGGTACACTGTATGGTTTAAAGTCAGGAAGGGTGTGTGTCAGGGTTGTATCCATTCTTCATATCTATTCAGCATGTATGCTGAGCAAACAGTTTGAGAAGGTGGACCCTATGAAGGGGAATCAGGATCAGAGGAAGATTCATCAACAGTCTATGTTATGCAGATGATACATCCTAGCTTGCTGAAAATGAGGAGGGCCTGCAATGCTTGCTGCAGAAGATCAAAGACTACAGCCTTCAATATGGATTACATCTCAACATCAAGAAAATAAAGGTCCAATAGGCAATATCATGATAGATGGAGAAAAGATTGATACTGTCAATCTTACTTGAATCCATGATCAAAACCACCCTTGGTACAGACAGGAGACACATGCAAAGAAAATTATTCTGAAGATCATGTAGAAATGACTGATATCGTTCATTAACAGAGAAATGCCAGAAATACAAGGTGGGTTTAGAAGAGGCCATGGCACCAGAGACACTATCACCAGTATCATATGAATCCTGGCAGAAAGCAAAGAGTACCAGAGGGATATCTATCTGTAATTCATTGACTATACAAAACCATTTGACTGTGTGGATCACAAAAATATGTGGTTAACCTTGAGGAGACTGGGAATCCTAGAACACTTCATTGTGCTCATGGGAAACCTATACTTGGATCAGGAAGCAGTCCTCAGAGCAGAGCAGGGAAACACTGTAAGGTTCAAAATCAGGAAAGGAGTGTGTCAGGGATGTGTCCTGTCTCCATACCTTTTCAGTCTGTATGCAGAACAGATCATTGGGGAAGCTGGGCTTTATGAGGAGGAATGTGACATCAAGATTGGAGGAGGACTCATCAACAACCTACGTTATGCAGATGATACAGCCTTGCTTGCTGAAACTGAGGAGAGTCTGAAGCGCTTGCTGCAGAAAGTCAAGGACTGCCGCCTTCAATATGGGTTGAAGCTCAACATCAAGAAGACAAAGATTCTCACCACTGGGCCAATTGGCATTATCATGATGGATGGTAAAAAACCTCGGCTCCATAATCAACACTCTTGGCACCAGTAGTCAGGAAATCAAAAGACAAATTGCATTAGGTAAATCTGCTGTCAGGGAACTTTACAGAGTGCAGAGAAGCAACAATGGTAGTCTAGAAACTAAGGTGCTTCTAATTCAGCCCATGGTCTTCACAATTACTTGTTATGCCTCAGAGAACTGGACAGTGACTAAGGATGAGAGAGGAAGAATTGATACCTTTAAGTTGTGCTGGAGAAGAGTCTTGAACATACCATAGACCACCAAAAAAACCAAATATGTCTGTCTTGGAGAGAGTGAAATGGAGTTTCTCCTTGGAGACTAAGATTCTGAGGCTCTGTCTTACATTCTTTGGGCATGTGGCCAGAAGGGACTGGTACTTGGAGAAGGAAGGGTAGAGGGACAGTGCAGGAGAGGAAGACCCCAGATGAGAGAGGTTGATACAGTGACTAGGGAATTGGGGGTATGTGTATCAGAGTCAGCAAGACTGGCTCAGGAGAGGGCAGGCTTCAGAGGGTCACTATAAGTCGCAGGCAACTCGGCAGCACACAACAACAACAAGAGGTCAGGGTACCTCTCCAAATTACTGAAGAGTAATGATGCCAGTTTGAAGACTAAAATGCACCTGGTCTTTCCAATCACCTACTATGCACCTGAGAGCTGGAAAATGAATAAAGATGATAGAAGAATAAGAGTCTTTGAGTTTTGGTCTTGGGGTAAGTACTGAATATCCCATGGACTGCCAACAGAAGGAGCATTTTGGAAAAAGTGCAGCCAGAGTGCTCCTTGGAGATAAGGATGGCAAAGCTTCATCGCTCATACTTTAGACATGTTGCTAGGATAGGCTATTCTTTGGAGAGGGATATCATGTGTGGAAAGTTGGAGAGTAAGCGAAAGAGAGAAAGACCCTCAACAAGATGGATTAACATGGGCTCAAGTGTATCAGAGATGCACAGGATCCAAATCTGTTTTGTTTTGTTTTTAATTTTTTTTATTATTTGTGCATACTGTCAAATCAGATCTGATTGATACAGGAGGGGATTGTCCCTCCTTCCCCAGCAGAGCATCTGGTGGATTCGAACCGTGCGTCTCTGGGATTGCAGTGCAGCTTCTTGCCACTGGGCCACCAGAGCTCCCCTACAAATCTGTTTTTAATAGGGTTGCTCTAAGCCATCCTCAACTCAACGGCACGCAACAGCAACAGCACAAAAACAAGCTAGAGTGTAGATACAGACCTTGGGGGAAATTGAGATGCTTGAGGCCCAGTGGGAATCTTGGAAGAGGGCTCGGCTGACTGTACTAACACTGTCAAGTTCAAGTTGACTTCAGAGTTTAGGGGCCAGGACCAAACTCAAGAGAGGGGACGAACAGCTGAAGAAAGATGCCTGCCCACTAGCTGTGGCAAGAGGCTGAGTCCGTCTGTTTCATCGACTGCTTAATGCAGCTGGGGCTCAAATGTGGGAAGCTGGGTCTCTCAAGTGTGAGAACCACGTCTTGGTTGCCTCTGTATAGTTGCAGAACAAAAAAGTCTCAGAATGTGTGTGAAATGAATGAATGAGTTAAACTCAGGGTAGCTCACTCACTGGGTCAAAATTCACAGCAACTAACAACAACAAACTTTTCAAAAACGTTCCCACTGGTAGCTCTTTTTGTCCTTACCAGGACTGTGAAGTGAAACAGAGACCTAGGAACTGGGGAATGATAAAGGATCTACCTGAGGCAACACAGACTAAGAGGCAGAGCCTCGATGCACACCCAGATCTGGCTGAGCCCATACTCCTCTTATTTTCCTAACTGCTGCCAGCAACATCTCTGGGGGAGCACAAAACCACTTTGGAAACTGGCAAGCACCAACCAAACCAAAATGAGGGATAGCAGTTCCTTGACAGTCTTTGAGAACCTCTGCTGAGACCGCGAAAAATCCCAAATTTGCAAGCACCATCCTAGCACATAATTGTCACCATCCAGTGCAGGAAAGCATACCCACAAATTTTCGGTGACCTCCTTCTGAATCAAAATGATTCTATAAATACCATGAGAAAATCCGTTCTCACACTGACAGGAACACTTGAGCACTTTTGCTAATTGCCTCCTCTTATTTCTTTTTTTTTTTTTATTTTTGTGTGAGTGTACCGTCAAATCAGATCTGACTGGTACAGGAGGAGATTGTCCTTCCTTTCCCGGCAGAGCATCTGGTGGATTCGAACCGTGCTCCTCTGGGATTGCAGTGCAGCTTCTTGCCACTAGGCCACCAGAGCTCCCCATCCTCTTATTTCTTTATAGAGCAGGTGAGGGACTCTTTCACATCACAGATCTAAAACTCATCGCAATTCATGACCATCAAGCCAGAACTTACTCAGAGCTGGCCATCCAGCAGGTTTTCAGAGGCTGTAAATTGCATAGGAAGAGATTGCTTTTCTCTGTCCCATAGAGCAACTGGTGGATTTGAAACCCCTTCCCCCCCCAAAAAAAAAACCACTTTAGGTTGGCAGCGCAATCCCTTCACCCACTAGATCACCAGAGCTCCCTTCACAGAGCAGGGTCAGCCCTTAATTGGGCTTTCTCTTCATGTATTCTAAAGCTCTGTGGCTAAAGTCACTTATTCTTTCGAACTCTGTATTTCCTCTTCTCTTCCATCCACAGCACTCTTCCCCCCACCTTTTTCATTTCATCAGATCAAGTTTACTGCAGAGATTGAAGGTGGGGAGATAGAGTCAAGAGAAATGATTCTTGGAGCTTTTCTTTCTTGCATGGCTTGCTGGAATTTCCTCAAACATACTTACTTTATTAAATGCTTCCTGTAGTTCTTCCAGCTCCTCCCGAGAAGTGGTAGTAGTACTGTTTTCCATCTCTGGACGCGCAAAAGTATCTTCAGGTCTTTATATCTCAGGGCAGCTCTGGTGCCCTAGGCCAGAGGGTACTGTGCTGTAGTCCAAAGGCTGGGCCTTTCTGGCAGTTTGAATGCAGCCTGGACTCCTCAGGAGAAAGGTGGGTGATCTCATCCCTTGAGATTTCCAGCCTCTGAAGCCCCATGGAGGGTCAACTGTAAACAGGTTCCAACTTAAAGGCTATTGAAAAGAGTGGGCTTTGGGGTGGGCATGAGGTGAAGGGGGCTTGTGGGCGGTAAAGAGTGGTAGGGACTTTATAGAAGGGGCTGAGGGTGCTGGGAAAGGCCCATCCACAGCACTCTTACCCAGATTATTTTCAGTAGGAGAATCACTACATACTCAAGGACAAGTAGAAAAGAACAAAACGACTTCTAAATGTGGGTTATGGGCAGTCAGAGAGGCTCACTCACTAGCTAAATGACTCACTCCCACACACCAGCCTTGGAACCTATGAAATAATATTGTATACGTCCCAGAATTACATGCTACAGCCTTAGAGTTCAAAGTTAGACTCTTTATCCTTCAAATGCCTACTTATGGTTGTGATCAGGTGCTGTTAAGAAAAGGTTACTAAAGAAACACAAGGCATGATGGTCAAGATCAAGTCTTATCACAACCAGTGTTAACTGCCAAAGCATGACTAAATTTCCAGCAGG